CCATAGGGTTTTTTTTCACGTCTGTTGAGAGACTACACGGCCGCGCCCTGGCCTACGAGGCCAAGCGATGGGACAGAAAATTCGGAAGCCCCCCCCCCAGTTCTCGATGGCCTCTGGTAGGGGCCCTCTGGATGCTGTCTGGAGGCAGAGTGCCAGGGGGGAGACCCTTTCACAGTCTGGATATCTTTTACTGAGTGTGTTGTGGGGCCCCAAGCAGTTTTATGAGCATATCAGTCACACCACACTTTGGAAACAGGCTATGCTAGTGGAATACCCCTTGGCTTCATTGAGATATACTTTAAACATGTATAAGTGGCAGAGAGTTGTAGCCATGGACGGTCTTGTAGCACTTCCTATTTGGCCCGCGCGAGGGGTTATAGCAGGGGCGTCCACGGCAACATATGAGGTGAAAGCATTCTTTGTACCAGGGATATCTGAATGGACAGAGAAGTCGCACTGCCATAGGTCAGCTCTCACTATTCATATTTATGATTTCACTTTGAACGAAGCTCAGCTGGGTTTCTTTCAGTGCATATCCATGATGCGAGACAAGGCCAAGGCATTGGCACAACTAGTGACGCAGCAGCTGGGCGCCCCTTTTGCGTACACCAAGCTTGCAGTCACAGGATCGTCGCCAGCGCTGGTCGAGGCAGCCAGAGCTGCCATGGGAGAGCTTGCTGGTGTTCCAGAGGACTTCCCGAAGAACCTAGGTGTGGACTACAGTCTTGGGAAACGCAAACATCGTGCGGGTGCCCGAAAGGTCCGGCAAAAGAGGTTCCATAACATCCCTGCTAGGATGAGGATGCTCAAGACCATCAAGGCCCCCAAGTTCACCAAGGCTAAGATTTTCTTCACTGGGCTTCAGAGCGCCGCTACGTACGGTGGAGAAGTCAGTGGATATACCCCCAAGGAGCTGGCCTTCCTAAGACTCCAGGCGGCCAGGACGTTAGGAATACCGCAATCAGGATCCAGGGATTTTGGTTTTCAGCTGTTCCCTGCTCGTGATCCCATTTGGTTTGCTGCCTCCACTCTCAAAAGGTTTTGCAAAGAGTGGTGGCAAGCCACGGACAAAGATTTGTTCCAGGGGGGCGGCCTGACGGTGGGAGAGTTGTCAAAGGGTTTTGCGACCACCCTAGAGACTCTTGGACTTATGCCTGAGAAGGCATCGTGGCTCCAGCGCTCGACAGGACCCCTCGCCGACATGCACCTCTGGATGCGTGAAGCAGGCTGGGAATCAGATGGGCCAGGTATTTTTGTCAGCAGGCAGGGTGCCAGGTGGCCCCTCCCCCAGGACGCCCCAGACACGATCGCTCATAGCTTCGTCAAGGATATTAAAGCAGTGTTCCTCCAGAGGGCTCTGATGGCGAAGTTGGAAGATAATGCCAATCACAGAGCGCAGCAGATAATCGCCAGTGGTGTGTGGAGTCTCCCCGCGCGCCGTATGCTAGCTGGTAAGAAGTTGTCTGCGAGCCAGAAACGTCTCTTGGTGGCAGTCTTCTCTGGAGGATATACTACAGCATTTGATTTTCATAAGTGGGGATATAATACCGACGGCAGTTGCAAGTACTGTGGACGACCAGACAGTGTACACCACAGAGCTTGGACCTGCCCGCGTTTCGAACCAGATCGGGAGGGAATCGACCAAGAGATATTGAAGATGGCCAAACGGGAAGGGGAGACAGACCCGCTCTTCACCCACCTCTGGATGCCCACTCCAGCGTTCACTTCGTTCCCTGTTGAAGATGCATGTGCAGTACTTCGAGCACAGAGACGGACAATTTGTAGAAGTTGATGCCGGTGATTTTCCTGAAGGTGGTCATCTTTTCTCGGATGGTAGCTGTTTCCACGGGGAGAAACCGGGAGTGGCCAGAGCAGGATGGTGTGTATGCCAGGTCAATGATGATGGTGACCTCGTGCGCTGGATCCAGGGCCCGATGCCGTCCTCCCTCAACCAGGCAGCATCTGCAGCTGAACACTTCGGAGTAGTTGCTGCCAATCAAGCCTGCAAGACTAGGGAACTAGGAGCCCCACTTAAGGTAGATTGTCAGGGCCTCCTAGTTGGCACAGCAGACCCCCTCAGAGCTCGCAGTCACACCAATGCGCATGCTGCGTATTGGAGACTGGCTGGGCCCCTGAGGGTGAATCTTCTGAAGGTTAAGGCTCACAAGAGTGAGTCAGATGCACAGACGCCTCAGGACCTGCTGAACATACGTGGGAACGCCCACGCAGACAGCAGAGCTAAGAATGCGGCCGGTGATAATAATCTTTCGGTGGATGACTTAAAAGCGTTTAAAGAGAGCTCAGCGTTATTTAAACAAGTTGCTGTTGCCATGCTTACTATACTAGATTTGTGGGCTCCTACTAAAGAGCTGTATGGTTCCCTGGAGCGGGTGCCCCGACCCCCGCCCCCGCCTCCCCAGGCTCGTCAACCGCGCAAGGCGGTCCTTGTCGGGGGGAACTGGCGCCGCGTGTCCTGCCACAGGATGGGGAGTCGGCTCTTAAGTACGACAGCGTGCAGAAACCTGTCAGAGTCCATGAATATGATTTTAAGTGCTGCACTGAAGCCTGATTACCAACACACCCTTTGGATGACCCAAACTGTGTCTGGTGGTGCTCCTGTGCTGTACTGTTCGGGATGTGGCGCCATGGCGGCTAGTCGGGCTGTGAAGCTACGTGACCCTGTCTGCCGCCCAGACCCGAGGAACAGGGATCTGAGCAAACTCAAGCGGGGGATTCTTCCAGGCGGCACGGGTGCGCTCCTGGAGCGACCCTGGCCTATCCGCCACTCCCCCGCCGCGCCACCCGCAGGACCCTTCTCCTCCTCCTCCGCCTCCACCTCCCAGGTTTGGAACCGCCTGTCCGAGCTCCAGGCGCTCCGCCTTGGGAAGGGAGGGCTTTAAGGAGGGGCAGGAGTCGAGGTTTTCTTTTCTCCTGACAGGTGGGGCTGGCCTCAGGCCTCCCCCCCTTAGGCGGCGTTAAAGGCGGTAAAGGAGGAGGAGGAAGAGGAGGAGGAGGATGAGGAGGAGGAGGAGGTGGAGGAGGAGGAGCGGTGCCCGACCAGATCTGACGTTTTCCGAGATTTTCGGAAAAAAAACAGAGAAGGATTGATGTCCGCCGTGATCACCAGGGCTCGGTCCGGGTCGACCGCCGCAGCAGCCTTAAGAGTTCGGTCGTCCACATAGGACCACCCACGAGTCCTTGGTACGTCGGCTTGTCGGAAAATCTGGGAAACGTCAAATCTGGTCGGGCATTCAGAGCGCTGATCACTTAGGGGTGCGAACTGCTGTCGACGATGCCGCGTTTTGGCCAAAGCTGCCTCAGCCGCGGGACAGGTGGGATCATATTCGCTCGCAGTTGCGTGGACGCCGCACGGTCCCCAGCGGGCAACGGATCCGGGAGCATGCGGCCTTAATGTGCGCCGCCCCTAAGCACAGATGGTCGGCGCCGTTCTGCGCGATCCCGCCCCCTGATCTGATCGCGCTCACGCTCAGGTTGGTGGTCCGTACCCGCTGCGCCTGGTGGTGCGCTCGGCGATGGTATGCCGAGCGAGTCTCCCTATTTTCGGCACGGCTTGTGCCGTTCTCAAGGCCGCTCGGTGGGTTCCCCCCGCCTCGCGGCTGCTGTCGGTGGCGCTCTCGGAGCATTCCGGTGTGTTCGGCTTGCGCCCGATCTCGTCCGGGCCGCTCCCCGAGGGCGCGTGGCTGCGGCCGGCTCCAGCCAGGGCTCGACCCTAGGGCTGCGGCTGCGGTCGCGGCCGCTGCTGCCGACGACAGCCGCGAAGCGCGAGCCTGGTCTTTCGGGGGCCGTCCCCGCCCCCCTGGGGGGATTTCGACGCCTCGTGTGATCGGGGTCAGCGCGCGCTGCGGGAGTGCGCCCGGGCAGTGCTCCTTCGTCCTCGGAGTCCTTTCGGCCCCCCGTGCCACGACGACGAGGAGATCGGGGAAATCGATCTAGCTGTCAAAAGCGCGCCGCCTTGGGCCCAGTTCCGGCGGTCCTTGGATTGTTTTGATGTTATTTTGCTCTCGGTCTCGCGGGCCCGGGCCGTGTGCGCGCCTACCCGCAGGCGTGGCCCGGATTCTCCTGGCGGCGCGTGTGGCTGCCCGATCGGGTGTGGCCACAATCAGGCTTCCGCTCGGCATTTCTGGGCCGAGTGCCCGCGATTTTCTGGGCGGCGGCGCGAGCTCGGCGAGCAGCTGCGGGTCGCGCCGGCCTGGTGGGGGGCCCAGCCCCGGGTCACTTCGGAGTCCAGGTGGATCACCAAGGCGGCCGGGGGTTCTGTCTGGCACTGGGCTGCGTTTCAGGTGATGGCGTGCTGCGTTGGCATCGCCATCGTGTAACCCTGGCCAGCCTGTCCAGGGCCGGCCGCGGCGGCGGGTGGGCCTTCAGGGACGCGGTCCGTTCACTTCCCCTCCCCCTTCCCCCTTCCCCTTCCCCCCCCCTGCTCCCCCTGGCGGGCGGCGGCTTGGCGGGCGGCGGGGCGGCCGACGGCGACGCTGACGACCTTCCTCCCCCTCCTCCTGGTGGTGGCGGTTGTGGTGTCGGTAGCTTCCTGGTGTTGACAGCCGCTCTAATTCGTCCCGGTCCAGTCCCGTGGTCCGCCAGCCCTTTTCCCGCTTCGCGCCCCGGCTTCCTGCGGCCCAGAGGCTTCCCCAAGGTCTTAACAGCGCTACGCAATGTTTCAAACAGCAGCTCGGGCAAAGTCACCCTGCTGTATCATTTTTAAGGAGAAGGAAGAGGAGGAGGAGGAGGAGGAGGAGGAGGAGGAGGAGGAGGAGGAGGAGGAGGAGGAGGAGGAGGAGGAGGAGGAGGAGGAGGAGGAGGAGGAGGAGGAGGAGGAGGAGGAGGAGGAGGAGGAGGAGGAGGAGGAGGAGGAGGAGGAGGAGGAGGAGGAGGAGGAGGAGAGAAGGCAGCGGTAGGCATCTGGCCAACCCGTGAGAGGCGGCACGCCGGAGGCCACCAGGAGGGCGGCCGCGAACCGCCCCGCCGGCCGCGACCCGCAGGAGTGGATTGAGCCAGCAGCTTCCAACGCTGGACAAGGCCTTGCCCTCCCAGGGAGGGGTGGTGTCATGGCGCCAACATCGCAGAGCGGATTCGTTCGGAAAACAACATGATGTGCCCGGATTGGCCTGGAGAATCTTGTCCCGGATTTCGAAGTGAGTTTTGTACGGATTCTGTTGGCCAGGAGTGCAGGTTACAAAACATCCACGTGACATATCACTTTGTTTGACGCTCGCACTTTCGGGGTTCTGCATTGACAGAAGTCCAAACGAACATCCGCTGCAACACGTCTGCGTCTTCGGTGCATTGAGATTTGGTCACTGCATGCCAAGGAGTGGCGAGGCGCTCTGCTTCGCAATGCGGCTCACGACGCACGTTCTGCACGAACTGTGTTTAGATAGTTTATTGCTGAAAGATTCGTGTTGGCAACAAATTTATTGTTGTTCTAAGAACGTTGTCTTGCTCTACATCATCCGTAAGGGCTTCGCCCCTTGCCGCCAGCCCCTCTTTATCTTAATGGGATACAACAGAGTCGCATCGGTGCGTCTTGGCGCTGCCTTGACGCATCTGGGAGCAGCATGCGGGGGCGGATAGGAGTCATCAGCGCATATCGAAACGTTGGTGTTATCGAAGACGCCTACGGCTAATCACCGCCGCCCCCTGCCTTTTTTGGAAACGCCCATGTGGCCGAACGTTGTGGCCAGAGGCCTGCCAAGCTATCGGACCATGTATTCCCCCAGCCGGTTTGGAAAGCGTTCGGGGAACACGGTGGGGGAGGAGGAAGGACATGAGAGGGAGGAAAAAGGAAAGGGGAGGAGGAGGCCTCTTGGGAGCCTCTTGGGCTACTCTGGGGTTTTATTTGGCCATCTTTGCGGTTTTGGAGGCATCTTTGGACTGTCTTGGAAGCCATTTTGTGGTTATATTGGGGCTTATTGGGGCCATCTTGGGAGGCCTCCTTGGCCTTTTCGTTCGATGGCGCTGAAATTTATCATTTGCGCAAACATGGAACAAAGAACTGCATTGTTTACTCGGTGACCAGGAAATAACATGAGGAAAGAATTGGAGCCATTCGATGGAGGCAGTGTTGGGTGCATCTTGGGCGTTGTTGGAGGCGGAGCTTGACCAAGCCATCGGACCATATGTGTTCCCCGAGTCTCGCCTTGACACCTTCGGGGAGCACTTGTGGGAAGAGACGGAGGAGGAGAGGGGGGAAACAGCAGGAGGGAGCAGGAAATGCTTGAAAGCTTCTTGGGGCACTTTTGGGATCTGGGTGCTTTGTTGGACCTTCCTGTGGACCTTTTGAAGGCTTCTCGGGAGGTCTCCTTGGCCTTCTTGGGGACCTCTGGGGACTCTTTGAGGGAGTCTTTGGTCGTCTTAGAGCGTTCCTGGCCAATCTTGAGCCGTCGGAATGCCGAGAAGAAGCAACTGCCACAAGGAGGCCTCTTGGGCCGTCGTGGGCGCCTCTTGTGGGCCCCTTGGGCCGTTTGAGGCCGTCTTCGATGCATCTTGGGCCGTCTTGGAGGTATCTTGGGGCCATCTTAGCCGTCTTGGAGGCTAGCTTGGCCGTCTTGGATGCCTTTTGGGGCCCTCTTGGGGCCGTATTGGGGGCCTCCGGGGCCGTCATTGGGCCATCTTGGAGGCCTCGTGGGCGATCTTAGGGCGATCTTGGGGGTCTCTTGGGCCGTCTTCAGCCGTTGGAATTCCGAGAAGAAGCAAATGCCAACATTTTCAAGCACCCTAATGAAAAGCAATGATGTTGGCCTCTTCGGGTCCTCCTGGAGGACCTCTTGGAGGCCGCTTGGGCCGTTTTGGAGACCTCTTTGGGGGCCTCTTGGGTCGTCTTAGGCAATATTGAGGCCATCTTAGGCCCGTCTTGGGGGCTTCTTGGGCCGATTCGGGGCCCTCTTGGGGCCGTCTTGGGAGCCTTTTGGGCCGTCATGTGACCATCTTGGAGGCCTCTTGGGCGATCTTGGGGGCCTCTTGTGCTGTCTTGAGCCGTGGGAATCCCGAGAAGAAGCAAATGCCACAATCTTTCAACCACTTAAGGAACATCAGTGATTTTGGTCTCGTCGGCCCCTTTCTGGAGGACCTCTCGTAGGCCTCTTGGGGGCCTGTTGGGCCGTCTCGGGCCATCTTGATGCCATCTTAGGCCGTCTTCGATGCATCTTGGGCCGTCTTGGAGGCATCTTGGGACCATCTTAGCCATCTTTGAGGCTATATTGGCCGTCTTGGATGCCTCTTGGGGCCCTCTTGAGGCCGTATTGGGGGCCTCTGGGGCCGTCACGGGGCCATCTTGGAGGCCTCGTGGGCGATCTTGGGGGTCTCTTGGGCCGTCTTCAGTCGTCGGAATGCCGAGGAGAAGCAAATGCCAATATCCTTCAAAAGCCTAAGGAATATCAATGATGTTGGCCTCTTCGGGCCCTCCTGGAGGACCTCTTGGAGGCCTCTTGGGCCGTCTTGGAGGCCTCTTGGGGCCTCTTAGGCCGTCTTGGAGGCCTCTTGGGGCCTCTTAGGCCGTCTGAGGCCATTTGGAGGCCATCTCAGACCGTCTTGGGTGCATCTTGGGCCGTGTTGGAGGCATCTTGGGGATATCTTAGCCGTCTTGGAGGTCATCTTGGGCGTCTTGGAGGCCTCTTGGGCCGTCTTGGGGCCCTCCTGGGGCCGTCTTGGAGGCCTCTTGGGCCGCCTTAGGCCATCTTGGAGGCCTCGTGGGCGATCCTGGGGCGATCGTGGGGGCCCTTGGCATGCAATTTGGAAGTATAGAATTGCACGACGCCCAAGGAGACCGATTTCCTCCCGGGGCGATAATGGGCGTGAACGGGGGGGGGAGGGGGCCAGTCATGTCACGATTCGCGCCTGCGCCGTCTCGAATTCCTTCAGGATGGTTCATTCCTGGGCGGCGCTGGCGCGAATCGTGACGTGACCGGGGGGAACGGGGGGGGATGCGGGGCCAGTCACGGGCGGAACAGTCGGGGCGCAAAACAAGGAACCCTTCTCGTTGGGGAGGGGCTCCGTGTTCCTTAAGTGTTTCACTGCTTGCCTCAGGCTTTCCTTACTTTTTCGACAGGAAATCGAAGGTTAACTTGTGGAAAAAAGAGTCCTCGTTCCTTATTTAGGGTTCCTTAGGTCAACGCCTCGACTGTATCGCTAGACAGAGGCGGGCTCCAGCTGGAACGCGCCTGAGCGTTTGGCCTTCTCGGCCCATATAGTCGCACCGGTCCTGCAGGTGGTGCCACGTTCCAGCAGGATGGCCCGGGAGAGCTCCGACACTGGTGTGGAACGCCACAAGGGGCCCCCTGACCCAAGACACCTCGGATCGGGAGCGGACAGAACCCCCAACAGTGACGAGTCGATTAGTGAATTGTCCGTTTTCGGCTCTCGAGAGGGCGCCGCGGCCGTTATTTTCCAGGCTTGCGCCCGCCAGGTTTGGGCCTCGGGTCGTTTTCACTAAACCACGTTTTACTAAAAGGAGGTCTGTCCATGCCCGATTGGAGCTTTCCCAAAGATTGCCCCCAGATGCTCTCCAAGTCGTGACACGGTTGTTGAGGGAAGCTGTGGTCGGTGAGGACCCCAGGAGATGGCAGGAGGCTTTCAGGAGGCTTTCGAAAGACAGCAAAGAGGTCCCAAAGGCGTCTGACAGGCTTCTGCTTGACAGCAAGTCCATGCCAAAAGGCCCCGCGACAAACGTTGGTAGGGATTTCGATTCTGGTTTGAGGCTCAGTTGGGCGCGTGCATCCACACCATATTCACGACGGCAGTCCCAACTATGCCACTGGCGCGTACGCGTGAGTGCGAGCCCACACGTGCACGAACATTGTATGCATCCAGACGCGCTTCATAGTGTTCCAGAGGTGTGCAGGAAACGTCTCATATTGAATTGAGAGGGGTATGCTCCTCTTGTGAAAGTTCATCTCGTGAGTGTGCGTGTGTAAACAGGGGCTCGTTGGGCTGCTGCCAATCTGCTTTTATGCCTTTTCTTTTTCTCATCATACCAGCGTGTGCCCGTACAGCGGCTTGATGGCGAGCGGCAGCGCTCGACCACCTACGCATTTTCTCTGCGAGCGTGGAGGATGCTGCTGAGAGGTATAGGCAACAAGTCACGCCGGTAGTCAGTCACCGTGGAGTCACTGGGAAAACACGCTCCCACTGCCAAAGAACATTGCTGTCATGATTAGCGAAGGTCCTTACCGGGCCTGGGACCGTCAAACCGCTATCTGGGATGGAGAGCCAGTCCTGGGAAGGGGCCCACACCTTTGGCAGTCCACGTTGTGAACAACACGACGTTGGAGTTCGGGGCCATGACGGAGTCGAGGCTATTTCGCGTGGTGTGATCCAGGAGCATGCTGGCTGGGCGTGCAGCCTGGTGCTAGGCCATGATCAGAGCTTGTATTTTCTATTGCTCGATCGCATGCTAATGCTGCAAGGGAGGCTAGAAGCCTAGGTGCGTCATCACTGGAATGCTCGTTGAACTTATTTTCCTCACGGCTCTATTCACTCATTACATACGGGCCGAAAGAGCAGCCAATTAGGTGCCCAGTACGGCACCAAGAGGGCCCAAGAGGACCCTCCAGGCGGCCCGAGAGAGCTTTAATTCGGCCCTCAAAGAATTCCTAGTCTTGACTTGGTCGTTGTAGCCAATTGTGGTCCCCCCAAGCCAGCAGGAGGCCTCAAGACGCCGTCAAGCACCCAAGAGGATTTTGAGATGCCCCACCCCAAGAGCCCACACGAGGCGTCTGACAGTCCTCAGATCGACAAACAACCCACCCCGAAAGGCGTTCAACACCGATTGCACGTGGCTGGCTGGGGGGGAAGTGGCGCTGCGACGTGGGGTGTATGCGGGAGGGGGGGGAACCTTTCCCCGAATGGGGACGCAGGGGGATGGAAGAGCTGATCCCGTAAGCCACCTGCGCCCCTGCTCGCTGCGAGATGGGCCCCTCCCCTGCGACGAACCCGTCGACGAGGCGCGTGAGCCCACGAGGAGGAGGAGGAGGAGGAGGAGGAGGGGGAGGAGGCGGAGGGGGAGGAGGAGGAGGGGGGAGGAGGAGGAGGAGGAGGAGGAGGAGGAGGAGGAGGAGGAGGAGGAGGAGGAGGAGGAGCCCCGAGGGCCTCTGGGAGTCTCCAAGCGATGCTGCTCCCGCTGTGCCGGGCTCCCCGGTGCCCCCCGCCTCGTGCCGTGCTCGGCGGGGCGAGCGGCACGCGGACGAGCGGCAGGGCGGCAGGGCGGGAGGGCGGGCGGCAGGGCGGCCTCCGCAGCCTGGGAGGAGGAGGAGGATGAGGAGGAGGAGGAGGAGGAGGAGGAGGAGGAGGAGGAGGCGGAGGAGGAGGAGGAGGAGGAGGAGGAGGAGGAGGAACATGAATCATAATAATACTAATAATAATAATAGCAATAATGATAATACGAATAATGATAGTAATAATAATAATAAGCATAATAATATTAATAATCATAATAATAATAGTACTAATAATAAGATGAATATGGAGAATACTAAGAAGAATACTAATACGACGAATAAGTAGACGAATACTAATAATAATAATAATCATACTAATACTTAAATTAATACTAAGAGAATAATTAGAATAATAAGACAAACAATAATAACACTAACACTAATAGTAATACGTTTAAGAATGAGATTAATAATACAAATAATAATAAACAATAATAAGAAGAATACTAAGAGGAGGATGAGGAGGAGGAGGAGGAGGAGGAAGAGGAGGAGGAGGAGGAGGAGGCACGCGCGGGCATTTCCTCCTCGTCGCGGGAGGGCGGCCTCCGCCGGTCCCCCTCGCGGGAGGTCTCGGCCAACCTGGGCAGGCCCCCGCCGAGCCCGTCGGTCTCCAACCTCAGCAGCGTCTGCCTGAGCCCCGTGGGCTCGGACCGCACCAGGTGAGCTCCCTCTGCCACGGTGCGAACAGTCCCTAGGGGGCCACATGCGAACCCTACCCCTACCCCCCACGATTTCTGAAGGGGAGGGTGGGGTTCACTTCGCTCGGGAGCTCCACTTCGCTCGGGAGCTCCCGAGCGAAGTGAACCCCACCCTCCCCCTCAGTGAATCGTGGGGGGTAGGGGTAGGGTTCGCATGTGGCCCCCTACAGTCCCTCCCCTCTCCACCCCGTCCTGCGGCGGAGGGGGACGCCGGATCCTGACGACGAGGGAGAAGGGTGAGGCGGCTTCGGCGAGCCGGCGGCGAGATGTCTGGCCGGTCGGCCGCCGCCATGGCTCAGGGGGTCCGACAGAGGGGGTTCTAGGAAGGGCGGGGGTCGCGGAGTGTCTGGCACACGGCTGTTCCCGGCACCGTCCTCAATGCTTGCGGCGGGCCATGATGCTGGGAAGATGGCCGCGCTCAGCCGATCCGCGAAAACCCCTTTGGCAACTCGCAGCCCTCGTCGCGTCCACCAATGCAGTCCCCCAGACCCACCCTTTTGGGAGGTCAGATTGGATTGGCGCACGCAATGACGGTATGCTTCAGCCAAGCGCAGAGGGAGGTAATGGGATGGAGGGAGGAAGGCTTCTTAGAAGCACCCCATGCATCTTAGAAGGCGCGGGCCTTGTCTATAGAGGTAGGACCAGCGCATTCTGAGAAGTAGCCTCCTACTAAGAAGCCTTCCCCCTCCCCCCCTCCCCCTTGTGCGCGCCGCCCAATACTGAGAACCCTGCCTCTCGAACGCCCAGCCAGCTCTTAATGCGAGCTGAGGAGCACGTGTTTTTGCCTTTCAGACTTCCTGTGGCGGGGGGCGGGGGGATGGAGGCAGGCGCTTGGCGGGCCCCGCGGAGTGCAGATCCCGGGTCCAGGGGGTTGACGTCGGGGGTGCGAGCTCCCCATGGGAGAGGTGGGAGACGACGGCGGGGGAGTCCGCAGGAGGTCGACCAAGAAACACTTTTTGATCCGCGGGTCGAGAGCGAGCCTCTTCCGGTCGAAGCTAAGCGGGCCACGCACAGCTTTCATTAACAGAGGGAGGAAAAAAGAAGGCGGGGCCTCACGTCACCGACCAAGAAAACACACGGCACCACCCCATCGACGGCCCTCCACGCTGCGCTACGGCCCATCGGGAGCCGTTAGCGTACACAGCCCCAAGCCCAAGCGGGGAATTCATTGTATCTGCGAAGGCTCGTGAGGCCGCAGGTGGGGCGGCGCCGTTCGTTTTCTGGCCCAGAAGGCGTTCTTCTTTCACCACCGTGCCATGCCAGCGACATCCTGGGCCCCAGGATGATGTACAGTGGGGACCCATGCCAAGAAGCACCCTGCTTGCCTCCAGGATGCCCAAGGTTTCTTGGGTTTCGATGGTTTTGCGATGGGGAGCGTGACGTTCCCACATCAAACATCGATGGACGTCCTGGGTTCTCAGGGTTGGGTTTCTTGTGGAAGGTTTCTTGTGGTCGTTCCCTACTGTATAGGCCCTCCTGGGCACGGCCAGCCAAGTCCTGGCCAGGCACGGTGGTGGTGCATTTGGATGCCTCCCGCGTAGGGACGGGAAGGGGCGGGTTGGCGCAACCCAGCGTTCGGCGACCTGCGGCTGGCGAGCGGACGTGGCTCAGGGGATGCTTTGGGGGAGGAAGGGCGTGAGCAGAAAGGTGAGGAAACGGGGAAGGAAGAGGAGTGGGGAAGGAGGAGGAGGAGGAGGAGGGAGGAGGGAGGAGGAGGAGGAGGAGGAGGTGGAGGAGGGGGGGGAGGAGACGAAGGAGGAGGTGGAGGAGGAAGGGGGGGTCAGGAGGGGAGGAGGAGAGGAGGAGGAGGAGGAGGAGGAGGAGGAGGAGCTGAGATGATGATGATGAGGAGGAGGAGGAGGAGGAGGAGGAGGGGGAGGAGGTGGAGGAGGAACAGGAGGAGGAGGAGAAGGAGGAGGAGGAGGAGGAGGAGGGAGGGAGGGAGAGAGGGAGGGGGAGGAGGTGGAGGAAGAGGAGGAGGAGGAGGAGGAGGAGGAGGAGGATGAGGAGGAGCAGGAGGAGGACAGGGATCATGAGGAGCAAAGGGATCAGAAGGAGGAGGGGGGGGGGTTCGTGGTACCAAAGGTCCGCAGATCGAAGCTCGAAGGATGATGCTGATGATGGTGATGATGATGCTGATGATGATGATGAGGAGGAAGAGGATGATGAGGATGATGATGATGAGGAAGAGGAGGATGCTGCTGCTGCTGATGATGATGATGGTGGTGATGATGATGTTCATGATGATGCTGATGATGAAGACGATGATGCTGATGACGATGATGATGATGATGATGATGATGATGATGATGAGGCGGATGAGGATGATGATGCTGATGCTGATGATGGTATGATGATGATGAGGATGATGATGCTGGTGATGCTGATTATTATGATGATGCTGCACTGTTGCTGCTGATGATGACGACAATGTTGATGATGATGTTGATGGTGGTGATGCTGATGGTGATGGTGATGATGATGCTGATGCTACTGCTCATGCTGATTATGATGATGACGACGATGATGACGATGACGACACTGCTGATGATGATGATCATTCTGATGGTGCTGACGATGATGCTGCTGATGATGATGCTGATGCTGATGATGCTGCTGATGATGATTATGATGGTGCTGATGATGATGACGATGATGATGCTGATGATGATGATGGAGATGATGCTGATGATGATGCTGCTGATGATGGTGATGATGATGATGATGATGACGATGATCATGATGATGATGATGATGATGATGATGATGATGATGATGATGATGATGATGATGATGAAGATGATGTCGATGATGATGATGATGCTGATGCTGCTGATGATGATGATGATGATGGTGGTGGTGGTGATGGTGATGATGATGATGATGATGATGATGATGATGATGATGATGATGATGATGATGATGATGATGATGATGATGATGAGGCGGGGGAGGAGGAGGAGGAGGAGGAGGAGGAGGAGGAAGAGGAGGAGGAGGAGCAGGAGGAGGAGGAGGAAGAAAAAGAGGAGGATATAGTTGGACAGTCTGCTGGGCCGCCTGGTCTTTCTTGCCCCCCGCCCCCCCAGGAGGGGACATGGGGGGGCGCCTGGAATGCGCTCGAGGTTTTGTCCCTTACCTTCCCTTCCCCCCACCCCCTCTCTCGGCCTCCCCCTTTTTCTTTCCTCCCAGTTGTCTCCTCTGCCCTTCTTCCCCCCCCCCTCCACCTCTCCCTCCCCATGGCGCCCATGCGCCCTCCCACTCACCCCTCCTCCCCCTCCCGTTGCCCCCGACCCCTTCCCCAATCGATCCCCTCCCGCACCCCCCACTGCGCTCTCCTGTCTCCGCCTTCCCCTCCCTCCAGCCCCGTCTCTGCTCCCCCTCCTCTCGTCCCCCTCTACGGCCAGAGCGCGCATTCTGATCGCCCCTCGCCCGCCTCTCCTGGGAGGACGCGAATGCCACCTCCCCCGAGGGGCTCGCTGGCGCGCCCAAGGCTGCGCGGGGGGGCCCGGAGAGAAAAGGCGCCCGCGATTCCTCCTCCTCCTCCTTCTCCTCCTCCTCCTCCTCCTCCTCTTCCGCCCTCCTCCTCCTCCCTTCCTCCTCCCTCCTCCCTCCTCCCTCCTCCCTGCTCCCTCCTCCCTCCCTCCCCCCCCTCCCTCCTTCCCTCCTCCATCCTCCCTTCTCCCTCCTTCCCTCCTCCCTCCTTCCCTCCTCCTCCTCTTCCTCTGCACAAAGCCGAATTCCCCTAACGCGATCCACAACTCAGACGAGTTCCACGAGGATGCCGTCGAGAACCGAGACCTTCGCCAGTGCCGGTTGCAGCCGCGCTCTGCCGCCCTGCGGCTCGGAGGCTATCTTTGCGTCTCCTCCTCCTCTTCATCCCAATTCCTGACATCTAATTCCTCCCAGTCTCCCCCCCCAGACGTGTCTGTAGGGTAGGCCAGGCGATCCGCTTGGAGTTTTCTTACCGTTTCTGAGCGCGAAGCTTGAACCTTCCAGCACCTACAAAGATGGAGAGGGGTCGTTTTCAGAATGGAGTTAGTGTTTTGCTGCGCGCACAGTCATTTCAAATCCTTGGGGGATCGTTTCCAAACATTTGGCTCCCTCCTTCGCGCCTTGGGAAATGGGAGGATCGTTTGTAGATTCGAGCTTTCTCCTTATCACCTCGTGCATTCATTTTTAAACATTTGCAACTGTCACCAGGCTGGAGGGAAGGTCGTTCTCAAAGTCGGCATCTCGCCTTGGCGCCTCGCACATTCGTCTTACTGACACCCTTGCGGCACAAGACCGTAAACAGCTTTACACAGTTACGATGGGGGCCACGATTGAGGGTCACGTCGGGGGCCACGATGGGAGGGCACCATAGCACCACTGGGGGAGGGACAGGGATAGAGATATAAGGGATCGGGATCGAGGCAGAGGGATAGGGATAGTGACAGGGAAAGAAATAGGAATAGGGTTAGGGATCAGGACACGGATAGGTATCGAACATTGGAGAAATGTTTGACAAAGGGAGACAACGTGAGACATTGGGAGGCACCGGCGTATAGTGGGGATAAGGATAGAGTTTCGCATGCAAATTGGGATATGGATCCTGGGAGACTGATTGACAACGGGAGAGGAGACAACGGGAGACAATGCGACACCATGGGAGACGGTGGGGGTCAACGGGAGACAACGGGAGACAACGGGAGGCAATGGGAGACAAAGTGAGACAGCGTCGCCTCTTCGATTCTGGGTCAGGTAGCGCGCTTATTCGTTTCTTCGAAGAATTCAATCCATTGTTTTGGGATGCGCTTGCAACAGTTGCGAGGATGGAGGGGGTCATGTTCAAATTATCTCGCCCTCAGCGCCGCGCACATTCGTTCTGAAGACCAGCAGCAGTTGCAGGACTGGAAGGAGACGGTTTCCAAAATGGAGCTCGCTTCAGCATTGCGCACATCAGTCTCAAAAGCATGCAGCCGTCAT